GGTCATTTTTATAAATTCAACTATTATTTTCTCTTGTGGACTATATGTAAACATCTTTTATGTGAAATATCTTATTCAGGTCAGCACTAAATAAACAATAACATGCATTTTGTATGATCCCTCTTATTTTGGTAAAATAATAAACATTTTGCAGATTCTGAAAGGGGTATGTAAACTTTTGACCTCAACTGTATATCATTGAATAACATTATTGCTATATTTAAGAAAGACATTATTAAACAATTACATAATTGTTATTATTAATGTTGTTGTTGTCCTTTCGGCTGCTCCTGTTAGGGGTTGCCACAGTGGATTGTTGGTCCACATGTGTGATTTGGCACAGGTTTTTACACCAGATGCCCTTCCTGGTGTAACCCTCCTAATTTTTCCAGGCTTGGGACCAGCACTGAGAGTACACTTCTAGTGGCTGGGGTTGATTCCCTGCCCAGGAATCGAACTCGGGCCGTGGCATTGAGACAGCGGTACCTTAGCCGCTAGACCACCAGGGACCTATGTTATTGTTATTATTTAAATTGAAATTTAAAAATAACATCTTTGTTAGATTTATGAAAATTTGAGGAGTATGAGTAAAGAGATTTAAAAAAATACTTTTAAAACTGTTTAAGCTATAAGTGTTAAATTTAAGAGTATTAAGTCGTTACAGTATAGATATTGGTGTATAGCTGTATGTGTATTATTGATAATTGTATCACTGTTATTGATCTGCTTGTTCTTTGCTGTTAATTTGTAAATAAAAAAAAGTAACTGTATTATGTATCCTTTATTCTGTGTAATACTTCCATGTTAAAAGCAGCTACTGTAAAATAAAGTAGCCCATGCAGCCTATACAATACCCAGATGGTGCCCATGTACAGCCCATGCAGGACAGTCCATGTACCCATGGTGCTGTTCCACATTAAGCCCATGTAGGGGCTACCCTGTTTGCCTACAAAGGCCCTACATGTGGCCCATCTGTGCTCCATCATTAGCCCTTACGGGCATCTGCATGTGGGGCCACTGTGGAAACTGCGGACAAACGATAGCAGGGCCCAGTTGGGCTGCCCCCATGGGCACCAGTTGCAAGCCCATTTGGGACCCATGTGGGCCCTACATAGACATGCTGGCTGGGTATCTGCCTATAATTTTACATTTTCAAACTAAACATTAAATATTTCTATACCACAGCGTGGTTGAATTCTCTAATCTGATTGTTCAGAGGGTGTGCATTATTTCCGCATAACGGCACATCTCTGACAGTAGTTCCAGCTGTAAAATGAACAATGGATTTATATTATTGCACTCACTCTAAAGTGTTACTGTTTCTATAGTAATACCTCATACACAGGGACTTGTATGGCAGATGTATTTATGTATCTAAGACTAATAATGAGCAGATTTTTAAAACTTTGTTTAACAAAGTAAAACATATAATCATTGATGTGGTGTCGTTTTTTTTGTTTGGAGATATTTATTTAGCATTTATTGGAGGAGGATCGGTTGTAAGCTCTTTGTAACAGTCAAAGTCTCCCAGCTCAGGAAAGTCTCTCAGAGGAGTGTATACTTTCTGGCTTCTCGCTAAAATGACAGGCTGCATTTTGAGAGAGAGAGAGAGATTGGTGAGAACAGGAACTAACTTTTTGAAATGTCTTTTGGACATTGCACGACATTAAATCTAACTATAAACCATTAAAATCTGCCACACGTTGTTCATTAATAAATTAAACATTGTAAGCATTGGCAAATCACTGTTGTACAAGCAGAATAACACACTCCAGACCATGCTGTTATACGAAAATAATGCACTTGGGGGGCGTAGTGGCATTCTGTTTGTGCGTCATGCCGCATCTTGACACTCATCCATATTTGGAATATTGTTAACATTATAAGTATTTAATATTTCCTTTTCATGATATGTTTCATAGTAGTATGCTGACAAATGCAAATGTTTGATTAAGTACTAACCCCCATCCCAATTCCCCTGGTCCTCAGGTCAGCTTTGCAGGTGCTGCATAAAGCATGCGAAGTGTCCCGTCGGTATAACTATGTCCCTGGCAGCACTACATTCTCCTGGATAAGCTTTTATGAGAGCCGTATCTCCTCCAAACAGAGTTGCGTCAATGAATGGAACACCATGAGCAACCTGGAAACCCCCAGGCCTGAATCCCCTGTCATGTTCTCCGACCAGTAAGCCACCATATAGGTTATTAAATCAGACTGTAGCTCAGATTGACTGTCTAAGCTTTTGGTCTGTAGTTGGTTTTTATTGTTGACAGCCACCTGTAGCCTGGAGTTGAATCAACCATATTTTGCCCTGCACTCTGGGATGTTTCCCTTTATCTCTGCTCATTAGTGTGACATTCCCTTATAATGTGTGTCTGTCTGTTCATGTCTACAGAATAGGGCTCTTAATACTCTCCTCCAGGCACATTTAGTTGCAGTTAACTCTTTCATTTCTTTCTTTGATATGCTCAAACTTAAAACAGACTTTTGCCTGCATAAAGATTACATATGTAATACCACAGATTTCTGCTACAGTGTTCTTTGTTCATCAGTCACAACCCATCCAGCTTCATTCATTGTTTTTTGCTAACTGGGAGAGCATGCAATTTGGGAACAACAGGGAAAAGACACATAGTCTTAGTAGCAGTTCACTGCATTGTTCCAAGCCATGTTTTATTATCCAGCAGAGCGATAGGAGTCAGGAGAGAAATGCTTCAAGTTCCACAAAGGCAATAATGCGAGTGAACTGTACAGTGAAATCAGGTCTCCAGAGTCAACTGGTGAATTGGGATGAGGTTAGTATGTGTGTTGCAAGCATGATTGACTCTGATCTGGGCCCTGAAGATTACAGTGAGATCTTATTCTCCCCAAAGATAAGTTGGTCAAGAAGGGTGATCATCAGCTGGTCAGCAAAGTGCACAGATATTGTCTCCAGCTCCAGTGTGGCTCAACCTCCACTGAGAGACTTGCTGCTAAAGGAATGGATAATGTCCCTATAGAGTGCCAACATCTGGTAAAGGTCTTTAGTAAGACCCACCCAAAGACCCTGGGACTGTGTTATCAACTTGCTTCCAGGAGCCAGTCCTCCATGTTCCCATGTCTATCATTTCCCTCAATGACAGTACCTCCAGAGGCAGGGGTAAAATCATCATCTGCCTTCTACTTCATGGAAAATGGATGGAGGATTGCAGGCATGCACTGATCATTTAGGAGTTAATCAAGTCATTAAGACGTTTCATTACCCCTGCCTGGAACAGTCGTGTGGAGCCATAGTTTTCACGAAACCCGAAACACACCTGTGTGTATCTCGTAGGGAGATGAGTGAATGACCACCTTCTCAGGGGTGTTCCTCAAAGCTGTGACAATACACCAGGAAGTCAGGAGAAGGCAGGCTTTCACTAGAATGATTTACAGGTGCACAAGCTCTGTATCAAGGCTGGTAGGTGTCACGCATATGTGCGTGGAGGAACAAAAGTTGCTGGCAGTGCTGGAGTGGCCATGACCATCTGTGCAGAGGTTTCAATTCAAGTCACTTCAATTTTATTTATATAGCACCTTTAACAATGGACATGGAAACCTGGGTAATGAATTAGATTTTGAGGAAGAAACCTTTAGAGATAGCAGACCCGCAAGGGAACCCATCTTCTTCAGGGTCACACTGGAGTGAGTGAGTCATTACTGTAAAATACTGTAAAATCAAACAGTACTGAGTGTGTTGTAAGGACCCTCAATATAAGCATCAGAGTCATTTTTTATTTCATTACACTTTTTAGCTTTCAGTCTATGGTATCCAAGTACTGAATAATGAATCCACTGAATAATGAATGAAAACTGAGTGTAGACTATTTTCAGTAAGTGCAATCTTTAGTCTATCCAAGTGAGACCATCCACAGCAATCTCCGAGTATCCATGTGGTACAATCCACAGCAATCTCACAGCAAAATTTAGGCTATCCATATGGGGCAATCCTTAGCAGCAGTGAGTGATTCTCAGGTGACAGAAGCTCCAAGCAGAGTAGAGCATATTAAGAAAAAGCTTGACTAAACTGTGACGAGGAGCAAGGAGGGGCCAGGCTGTGAGGATGCACGCCTGGCCCTGCCCTCCTCCTCGTCACATAAACAAATAGGTTTTCAGCCTATACTTAAAGATTGAGACCGTATCTGAGTCCCAAACACTAATCGGAAGGCTGTTCCATAACAGGGGGCTTTGTAAGAAAAGGCTCTGCTCCTTGCTGTAGTCTTTGTTATTCTAGGTACTAATAAAGAGCCTGCACCTTTTGATCGAAAGCAGGCATGGGGGCTCAAAAAAGACCAAAAGTTCACTCAGGTACTGCAGTGTGATTCAATTTTACTAGGAGCCATTGCAGTGTGGTAACTTTATGTTTCTTATCATAAGTATATTTCCCAGCTGAAATGTATTCTTTACGAGTTTCAAATGACAGGCTGGAGTCAACAATCACACCAAAGTCTTTGACTGCTGCACATGATGTAAATGAAAGGTCACCCAGAGTTACTACGTAATCAGAAAGCCTACTTCTAGCTACCTGTGGCTATAGTAGAAATACTTCTGTCAGAATTACAGTTGAGGCCAAAAGTTTACATACACCTGGGCTAAAGACATTCAAACTCAATTTTTCAGAACTTCACACATTTCATATTATGATACATTTCTGTGTTAAGTCAGTTAGGGTATCTACTTTATTTCTATAAGAGATCATTTCAAAATACTAGCTAAAAGATTTTTAAAAGCTTTTTTTAGCTATATCACATTTTCAGTGAGTCAAAATTTTACATACATTTCGTTAGTATTTGGTGGCATTGCCTTTTAATTGCTTGAACCTGAATCAAATGCTTGGGGTAGCCTTCCAAATTTTTGCCCATTCCTTCTGACAGAAGTGATGTAAATCAGTCAGGTTTGTGGGCCTGCTTGCTCAGACACGATTTTCAGTTCACGAATTGTCTATGGGATTCAGGTCAGGGCTTTCAGTTGAACGTTTCAGGCCAAAGTTCAATCATCCCTGGGAGTTAATTTGTGCCTCTTTCCTGAATGATGCAGTGAATGTGGGGTCCCATGATTTATATATTTGCATACAATTGTTTGTATAGATGCTCGTGGGAACTTCAGTTGTTTGGAAATTGCTCTTTGACTTATGTTGATCCACAATTGTTTTTCTGAGGTCTTGACCAATTGCTTGTATTTTCCCATGGTATCAAGGGCAAAAAAGCACTATCTTTAAAGGTAGGCCCTTTTACAGCCACATGTGCACTCACAATTAACTCCTAATTATAAAAATTGGCCACTCAGAAGCTTCTAAACATCATTACATTGATTTCTGGAATCTTCCAGACTGTTTAAAGAAACAGTCAACTTGGTGTCTGTAAACCTTTGATCCACTGGAATTCTGATTCCAGAAGACAAGCTGAAATAAATCTGTCTCTAATCGATTGTTTAAAATTACCTCTGATGTGAACAAAGTAGAGGCCCTAATTGACTTGCCAAAAGAAAGGTA